ATACTTTTGGAAATATTTGAAAAAATGTGAATTTGGCGAAAGAACTAATTTCCACTTCCACAATTTTTGGTGACAGAAGGCAGAATGAAACAAAAATCTCATGTTTCGCCGTAAAACACTTGCCTCACAACACCAACTCTGGATAACATTATAAGAAAAACTACTTAATTCATTCATAAAATAACAACTTTATGTCACGAATGAGTTTGATCCATTCATGTCATCGATGACATTCATTCGCTTATTTGATTGAAACCCAACCATTTTTGTGTAAAGATGCTGAAGTAGAAAGCGAAAGCCTTTCCTTCCCAAAAATTAATGTCTTCTGAAGATTCACCCCTTTCAATTCAAACGAGATTCCTCTGGTTGGCATTTATTCAAATGAGTTAATGAATGTCATTACGTACTGTCATCAATGAGTAGAGTAGTAGAAAGCCAAAAACCTCCTTTCCCAATAATTATTTTCTCCTATAAATATTTATACCCCTTTCAATTCAAAATTAAAAATATTCTCAATTGGTCTACATTTGGTCCTGGTATTCACACATGGAAAAACTTTGAGACCCCTTGGTTTCTTGATGATAAGGATTCATTTATATTCATCGAACTCCTTACCGGAATTATGAGTGCCTACCTACGCCTCTGTTTGGTTGTTAACATCTTCTATTCCGAGGGTTCTTCGAGACCAGCTGTTGAAAGAGAATGGTTTAAAAAATTGGCACGTGGCGTTTTAACGAAGGGTAGAATATATTATTATTCATAAAAACCATTTAAAAGTCTACTTCCTGATTGCCTTTTGTTAAATTATATATGAGTGGTTAGGGAAATACAAAACTTTAGCCGGTGAATGATTTCCAAATGTTTATTATATATGTATAGGTAAGCAAATGAGTATTTTATGAATATTGCACAGCAGCATTGCTATCCCAAGAGAGCTTTTGAATAGGGAAGCGAATGAGTCACTGCAATCAACAGTCACCCCAGAGTGATTTCGGTCTCAATTCACGAATGGCGAGGCCACCAGATGACGTGTACGTTTTTGTACACTGGATTCAAAGCAATGCTGTTAATGGGGAAAAATTATTATTTTTGTCATAGGTGCAAGTATGTACAACTTACACTGGTTCTAGTTATCATTGGCAGTCGTGTATACAACTGGAAACCATGGAGAGGTGAATCTATGATTATTTTCGTGTCGCGCCAAGATAACTAATTTCAACTCTTTGAAAAATTACTTTTGTAGGATTTAATTAATATTAAAACTTGAATTAGGAATCCTGGTCCAGCTATGCTTGTTTCTGATTATTTATGGTTTTCATAATTTCGTAGACTTGTGGCAAAAGTAATTTTTTTGACGTATGTCGAAATAATTACTGCGTTTTACCTCCAATGAATTTCGGGTTCTGAAAATGGAAAAATAGTGTTTTTTGAATCATTGACTACTAAAAAAGATAAGTATAGAATTTTTTTGTTTCAACTGATTTTTTCAATTTGTAGGCAAAATTTATGAATCCGATTGATCCGATGAATCCGGATTTTTATTGTGGAAGGTTATATACTTGTGGAAGGATATATACTAAAAAAATAGCAAATAATCATTAGCTATGTATATTACTAGAGTTATATCCCAACATCCAACCGTTATTTTCAACACCTAGACACGTGTTTTAATCACCAAGTGATCATCTTCAAGAGGAAGATTAAACTTGATATTCCTTCGGGAGATGATCACTTGGTGATTGGAACACGTGTCGAGGTGTTGAAAATAACGGTTTGGTGTTGAAAAAGAACTCCAGTGGTATTCATTACTATACCAAAGGTTCCAAATAGTTTATCACAAGTACATAATGACGGCAGGTCAACGGAACTGAATCTGTATCGTTTATACTCAACAAAAATTGGGCTAATAAAAGCAGAAATTTGGTTTCTGAAAAGCTGTAAAAGATATTCAGCTTATACCAATTTAATCTTCCTCTTGAAAATGATCACTTGGTGATTGAAACAATGTGTATTTTCTGACAAGTATATACTTTGAATCTCCACACTTTGTATAGTTCGCTCGAGCTTTATTCATACGGTACACATATAAAACCATATAAAAGTGGGGTTGGTATTTTTCAAAATTCGCTACTAGATCCTATTTTTCTCCTTAGAAATTCGACACAGTTCATTCTCAAGTGATATGTAGAAGCTCATACTTATAATATCATAAAAAATTATTCTGTATACATTGAATAGTAAAGGGCATTTCAAGAAGATGGTGCTCCTCCATGTTACAGCAAGATTTGGGTTGAAGGGTTAGTTATTTGACACAAGTTCTTTGAACTATTTTTCACTTTTCTATCTTTATACAAAATAACTGTATACTTCCGAAGAAAGAAAGCAATGATCACACAAATATTTGTACATATTATCAACTTTTCTTCTCAGATATAACCTAAAAAAAAATCCCATCTTAGCTACTTTCAAACATGTGAACAATGAATTGAAAGAAAGTCCTAAATAAAATGAACAGAATTTTTTTTCAATACAAACTGAAAGTTAAACGACTACTTTCAAACATATGAGCTTTGAATTACACATAAATAGCTTTTTCCTATTCTCTTGTTATTTCATTCTTTGCAGGAACACTACACAACGTAATATATGGATAATATGGAAGAGTCACCAAATATAACATCGATATAAAATTTTACTCACACTTTGCATAAGAAAATTCATCATCCTCATCCTTATCTATAAGTTATATAGGATCACTGTATTGATCCTATATAACTTACAAAGTTATAGGATAGGTCAAATTGCATTTTGTACATATAGAGTGAAATTAAACCAAACTTACATGAAAGATTCATCAAATGAATGTGATGGAGAAATGAAATTACGGAAGATTGAGAAATTCATCTATGGTATCTGTTTAAAAATCTGTTGAAAATCTGTTTTTCCATTACTCAGCTGTGCCCCCATACGAACGACAAGTCTCAGAAGTTGAGAAACTTGTGCGAGCTCAGGATTAAGGAGGTCTTACCTTTTAAGGTGTGATTCCTAACACGGTTGCAGAATCATCCCAGCTTCATCCAGATAAATTCTTTCGAGAAAAATATCTGGTCGAGGCGGGAATCGAACCCGCGAAATTGGCCGCGGTGGTAGTGCGCCTTCTAAGGGTGGTTTTTAAAACCTGAATTCTATCAGTAGTTTTTAATGTGTCGGGCACTTTGTTATCAAGTTTTAGCCCCAAGTAAGAAAGTGAGTTAGGCGTTATATTATATTTGACGGGATTTATGTAAAAATCATTGCACTTTCTTGTATTTACATTATGGTAAGATGAAATGCGATGAAAGGTGAATGAATACACACATTTAAAAAATGAAAATATTCGGGAAAATTAGAATTTTCAAATGTTTGTATAAATCTCTGCAGGATGTTCTCTGATTAAAGACTGCTAAAATCCGTATTATCTTTTTATGGACAATAAATATATTTGGAGCCAATGAAGAGTTTCCCCAAACTCAAATGCCATATCTGATTCTAGATTCTATATGTGCATAGTAATAATTTACTAACTGTTCAGTGGTTAATATCGGCTTGAGATTTCGTATCAGATACGAAACAGAACTTAGTTTCAATATCAGTTTATTACAATGACTCTTCCAGTTCAGACAATTATCTAGCGTGAGACCCAAAAATTCACATTCATCGGATAAAGAAAGTGTGTTTTCATTCTCATTGATTTTAATTTCTAGATTTGAACAGATTTTTTTCCTGTGATGAAACCGTACTAACGTTTTTCGAGAGTTGAAATGAAGTGAGTTGGCGGCACACCATGAAACCAAATGATTTGACACGGTGTTACAATTTTCTTTCAAAATTGTGTCGTCTTTGTCCGAAATTAGAAGTGATGTGTCATCTGCATACATAACGCACGTATTCTCAGCAACCGCGGCCCCTGCATCATTACAGTATAATATAAATAATAACCGTCCCAACACTGATCCTTGAGGTATTCCAATGGTTGAAACTTGAGTATTTGAAATACATTTATAATGACTATTTTCAGATCTATGATTCACCGAAACAATGTAGCGATGTAGGTATGCATATTCAAATATTTTTGAGAAACTAGATGGAACAGTAAAGGCCTATAGTTATCTAAAAGATAGCGATCCGATTTTTTGTGGATAGGTACTACTTTGCCGATATTCAATTTTTCGGAAAACACTCCTGTACTAAAGGACAGATTGACTGAGTAAGTCAAATGATACATAATGTACTGCAAACTTGTTCTGATCAAGAACATTGGGATTCCATCGCGTCCAGAAGAACTTTTATTCTTGAGTTTATTGGTTAGGAGAGATAACAGTTCATTATCTGTAAAAGGCTCAAGAAATATAGAGTTATAAACATTAGTAAGATGATTGATGTGATTATTGGATGGGTTATTATTTTTAATCTCCCCAATTATCTTCATTGGGGTAGTGATGAAAAAATCATTAAAAAGGCAGGATATTCTCTGAGCATCATTCACAACCTCACTTTCATGTATTAAGGAAATATTAGTCATAGTTATAGAAGAGTGTTTTATACTATGTGTCACCCGTCAAGACGTTTTTGTGGGATTATTGGATGCCACTATTTCATTCTGATAATACCCGAAGTTCCTGGACGAAAACACTTTTCAATGTTTTCTCATCAATACCATTTTGAATTCCATCTCAATGAGGAGAAAATAGGTTTTGGCTTTCTTCTTTTGCATGAAGATTGAGAAAGAAGTAGGAAGCTGAAAATGTTTTTCCTAAAAATTAATATCTGCTAAACAATACCTTCTTTTCAATTTAAACTTGACATACATTGAAAGGGGCTTTCTGATTCTCCATCTTCACACAAAAAAGGATGAAACATCTTTTTCTTCCAGTTTGTGAAGAAAACTTAATAGGATATTTCACACATTTTTTGTACGATGATGGAGATGTAGAAAGTCAGAAACGTTTATTTTCCACAAACTTGACCAAATTTTTCCGAAAAATTACTTCCCTGGCAGTTTTTCCTTGTTAATACACCCTGTATATTAGTAAATTTTTAACATTTTAGATTTCTGACAGTCACTCCGACAAATTTTGACCTTTATCAATGGTCTTTCCAGTATCCATTCCCGAAAGGGGCTCATCCTCCAGGTAATGAAATAAATTCGTTGAAGCAGCCACCCTTCGCCAATCCCCATTACTCGTTCCCTTACGACCAACCCTTACGGCGCTACTGGAGGGTGGCAGAGTGACCGTGAAACTAATGAATCCAGAGGGCTGTACGACTTGCACTGCGCTAAGACCACTAAAACGTGAATTACACGACGCTCTGTTTATGGTACGCGAGTCATGCACAGATGTTTCAACCAGAACCTTAAAATAAGAGGAACGATTTGAACTCGCATCATCCACTAGTCCTGTATGTGTAGATCCAGTCGTGAGACATGTGACAATCGACTAAGTTTGACGCGACCTATCAGTTCCGATAATGTGCGAGTTGTTTGACGTTTTTATTTTGTGTTTTTGTGAGAAGTTATTTTGAGTGTTTTCGTGATTTTTTCTTTTTAATTTGGATAAAGCCAGTGGAGCGACACTTTTAAGGTAGGTGGGTATATTCAATAATTTTCTGGTTAATCTTGAGATGGTATAGCGATGGTATAAATTGAGAAAAAAGAAGACCAGTGATTCGACACTATCAACAAATTATATCTCTTAATAATTCTCTGTCATGCTTTTACTTGAAAGGAAGCATAGAAAAGAGAAGAAAAACGTTAAAGTAATAAAAGCTCGTTTAGTTAAATGGACCTTACTCTGAATCTCGAAAACAAGAAATATGTAACCCTACCAATTAAAGAAAACAATTCACCGAAAATGGCCAAATTACTTTTACGGAAAATAATTTGTCACGTTCCATCGAAGGTGAGAAATACATTTATCTTGGGAACGAAATTATTATATTGTTACAAATTCTTGAGCGTGCAGGATTTATAATTCACCAAAGTGAATTACTTGATACCAATAAATCATTATTTCAAATAAAAATGAGACATTGTCTGAATGCCCTGCAGTAAAATTTTTAAAAACTGTAGGTCAAGAACCATTTAAACTTATAGAGCTTCAAAATTTTCACTTCCAGAGTATATCAGAAACAAAAATTATATTTTCCTTTGTAAGAAAAAATAAAAAAGGTACTCTTTACGGCGATATACTAAAAATTTTCTTAAAATATCGTGACAAAATTCATTTTGCTATTTTTTCCTGTTATTCTCTCTGGTTCTTCATCTTTCTTTTGTTGCTCTTCTTGAGTTTGTATTTGTGTATCATGAAATCAATCAAACAGTTGACTATATCTACAATAAGTTACATACAGTACATTTCTTTAATGTCCTCCCCACATTTATTTCTTGAACGGGTCAACTCAAAAAATTGAAATTTGGAATAATGAAATTAATGCATGAATACTTTATTTAGAAGTGAATTTGACAGATGAAACTTTCAAGATGGCCACTGGGCGCCATCTGGGAAAAAAATTAAATGGAAACGGGGGTTTTGTGACACATCTTTTTAAAGCTCCTGACAAATGCTCCACAACCCTACTACAAAATGGCTGAACTTTTAATAATTGAGGTAAAAAGCTTGGAGTCAGTTCAGAAGATGATCGAAATGGTTGCCTTGAACTTCTTGACATATGAACGATATTTCACGCCGAACATTTTTGAACACAGTAACGTCAATATCTCCAAAAATATTCATTATTCTCTGCCGTATATCCAATATTGAAGCAGGTTCACTTTCGTACACCTTTTGCTTCAAATAACCCCATATAAAAAGTCCAAAGGTGTCAAATCTGGCGAGCGGGTTAGCCATTCTGTAGGACCTCGACGGCCAATCCAACGACCGGGAAAATAGTATCCAAATAGTTTCTTAGTTGTCTGGAGTAATGTGGTGGTGCTTCATCTTGTTGGAATACAATATCCATATCAAATTCATTAGGATTCGCTTCGACGATTTCAGTGATGAGAGGGTCACCAGTAGTTTCCAGCATATTCAAATACAGTTCCCCTGTTGCATTTTGATCAATAAATAGAGGTCCTACAATATGGTTTCCCAACCAACCCTCACGGGTTGGTGTCGCTCCAATAACGGCTGTCGTACTGACATTTTTGTCATTTTTATAAACAAAAAATAACTCAACAAACCTTATCGGGTTGTTGAAATTGCCATAAGGCAGATAAAAAAGGATATTTCTAGAAATATCGATATTAATGTGTTTGTCTTCAGGAAGTTATTAAATGTTTCGCCATTTTGTAGCAGGTGAAGATATTGACTTCATATTCTAGGATTATGAAATATTCGTGATATATGAAAGATGTATCACAAGATCCCTCTTTCCATTCAATGGCGCCCAGTCGCCATTTCGAAAGTTCCATCTGTTAATTTCACTTTTGACCCATTCAAGAAATAAAAGGGAAGGACATTAAAGAAATGCACTGTATAGTAAAATTATGTAATTTTTTTCACGGATTCAGTATTTTCTATAATTTACCACTACTTGAACAAAAAATAAAAGGATTCATTCATGCTGGTAGATTTTATTACGAATCATAATAATATTGATTCATACAGACTTATTTTATTATTTATTAATATTACTTATCAACCATTATGTTATGTGTAGGTACCCTAACATCTTTATGAACATACACTCAGTTCAGAACAGTTTAAAATATGTTTTTCCGTTAACCCCTACGAACGACAACTCTCAGAAATCGAAACTTGTGCGAGCTAAGGATTAACGAGGTCTTACCTTTTAACGTGTGATTCCTAACACGGAAACAGTCTCGCAAGCTTTTGAGAAGCAGCCTTTGTAATTCCAGAGACATGATTGTGCCAAGGCATATTGGTGTCCATTTCAATTATCAACAATCTTATCGAAGCAGAAAGCGGAATTGTCTGTCCTGACATTATTATATCCGGTTCGGAGACATCTTCCTCTTGAAGATGATCACTTGGTGATCGAAACACGTGTCGAGGTGTTAAAATAACGGTTTGGTGTTGGGAGAAAACTCCAGTAATATTCATTAATTTTTTAGACAAATAAGTGATAGTGGCTTCAACTTTTTGCTCTGCGATATCTACTAGTAACAAACACTTTACAGGAAACACTATTACAGGAAAAACTTAGACTGTTCGTCCATTTCGAAACGATTATAAAGAGTGCAGTCAAGGCGATTTTTGAACAGTAAGGGATAACTTGTACAAAAATTAACTCTGTATTACATTTCTCAAATTTCCCTTTTCTTTTCAAAACCGTTCGTCCGTCTTCTGAAACATTTTAGCAGCTGGAAATGATTGAACTGAATATTGCAGTACGTCTATTGCTTACCTCCATTTACTTGATTAACCATAAATTTGATTATAGTGATGTCATTATGATAATTTGCCCATCAGCCAACAGCAATAATATATATTTATCACTGCAAGGATTTTTTTGTGTGCGAAAACGTATAAGACATCGAAAGTTGCACTGAACGAAGTGTCATTCGAGATACCGTTCTGCTATAATGGGATAAATGAACTGAAACATGCAGAAATATTGAAAGACTTCCGTAGAGCTGCTCGGCTTCCAGTAGTAATTTGATCTCTGCAATGAATATGCTACTTTGGTATTTATATTTTTTCCTTTAGTTGATATCCGCAACAGCCGGTTATGACAGTGGCGTGTACAGAATTCTACGGGTAGCCAGTGAAGGGGAAGACTGTCGCATTTAGGGTTTGTAGTCTGAAAGATCAAGTAGTTTTTTATTGACCTTTTTTAAGGAGTTTCACCTTACACAATTTGAAAAACTAAAAATTGATAATTGTGTTTATTTCTGTGCTGAAAGTTTTATTGGTGAAACTATCACTATCAATAGTGCATGAGAATGAACATAGAGATTACATAAAAAATAGACAATCAACAGGATCAATATTTTAAGAACATAATTTGAATGATTGCCAATAAATTCCGCTTTGAGAGGAAGTCCAAAGAATCAGGGTATATTCTAATATTTGGAGAAAAAAGTATTTCAAAAAGCTTCTTGGAAATACTCATAGATCATACCTAGCTACCAGTCTTGAAAAAAGATACGGATAGTGGCGAAATAGTATAGTCAAAAGCTGTTGCGTTTGATATTTCTAAGGTATTTGACCGTGTATGGCATGGCTGACTAAAATTCGATACTATGGCTTGTCAGGTCATTTTTGTGTATGGCATTCTCGAACACTTTTACAATCAACACTGATGTTCCCTAGGGAACCATATTGTCTCCTATCCTCTTTTTATTGTGTATCAAGGACTTATTGGAAAACCAAGAATCCAATATATTGCTTTGCTGACGACAGCACACTTGTCTCGTCATTCCATTTGGATTCCAGGACATCGGCTGCGGTTGTACATCTTTATCGACAGCAGGATGTTGCACATCTATGAGGATCTAGAGGTGATTTCGTTTGAATTCGATGCTACGAAAACCCTGGCATCGGTTTTCATCAAAACCCTGACATTATTATATCCGAACCGGATATAATAAAGTCAGAGCAGACAATTCCGCTTTCTGCTTCGATAAAATTGTTGAGAATTGAAATGGACACCAATATGCCTTAGCACAATCGTGTCGCTGGAATTGCGAAGGCTGCTTTTCAAAAGTTTGAAACACTGTTCTGAACCAGAGAACTGTACACGTCTTAGTAACTTTTGATGCTTTGGAGTATTTTTCTCATGTATGGAGCTTCGCCCTTAAGCATACCTTGAGTATGTTGAATTCTATTCAGAGAAGAGTCATTCGCCTTCTTGAAGACACAAACATCACTTGCCTTGATAGTCTGGAATATCGAAGAAAGGTTGGAGATGTATCTCTCTTTTATAGATACTTTCACGGGAGGTGTTCAAGTGACTTGGCATATTTGATTCTACCAAGAGCCGTACATATCAGAAATACACGATGGACTGTGACTACTCATCGTTTCTTGGAGCGCCTCAATAATTTTCCTGTAGTGCGTGTGATTCGGTCTGTGAAAAAAATTAGATAGATGGAAAACGAAGGCAAATTTAATCCTTTAAAACGTTTCTATATATCTATATAATTTGTTAGCCCTTTTTTGAGGAGCAAAATTATTGAATACGACAAGTTACTAATGAAATGAACGTTTTCCGAAAGGAAAATGCTAGGTACAATAATTATTGTATGAAATGATAGGTACAATTATTGTACCTAGCATTTTCATAAAAAACAATAACTAGAGAACGATTATAGTAAGGTACATAGTACCTGTTATGAAATCATATTATTTCTCCCGACCTATTCAAAACTTTAACCAAATACAGGGTGTTCCGTTTGAAAAACACAACTTCCATATGTCACACTTTTTTGAGTCACCCTGTAGACTCTAAAATAATTTTCTTTTGCAGCCTCAATCAATACACATATAATGGAATTCAGAAATTTCGGAAAAAATTAATGGTTTGGTTTACAAGGGCCATGTTGTATGGGCTGCCCAACCTTGTATATTAGATTTGTCAGATTGAACAAAATCAAGCATTTATTGTTTTATTGAAATTA